AGAAGCTAATTAAACTAAGACTCACTCATGGGTTTAGAGCCTCTAGGGGTACTGATGATGTTTGTTTTATAATCTTTAAACGAACAATTAATATATACCACAAACCCTCAAATTTAGCTCAACAACAGCTAAGCGAATAATGGAGTTCAGTTCCAGGTATCATATTATGTGTATGTTTTAATTAATATATGTTTAATACATCAGGTACACACGACTGACGTGGCAGTACTGAGTGATTAGTTGGAAGCGGAAATACAAGACGAGCCAAAGGAAATTAGTTGAGCGTGCAGGGAGAGGGGAAGATGGAGGAGGTAGCAAAGTCCCTACGCAGAGGTAGAGGAGAATGATTCCGAACGAGGACTCATATGAGTATGATAGAACCTATAGCGGATAGTTATTGAACTACTTAAAGTGGTGGGACCACAAGCGCAGTTGGGCATACCAACATGACATGTTTGTGAAGATTAAGACAGATAAATCAACAAGAGTGACACAGGTGGAAACTAAGTACCCAAATGAGCAATAGAGACATTGGAAAGAACTTTCTCCGTTTCAGAGTATTAATAACTGGAATGCATTAGGCAGTGATATGGTTGAGGCAGACTTTAAACACAGCTTCAAATGTTGATATGGTAGATCCCAGTAGACTCAGAAACCAGTACACTAGTTAATTAACAGTTGAGAGGCGGGACCAAAGAGCCCAAGCTAAGCCCCCGCAAGCACAATTAGGTGAGTACAATTAGGCGAATACACACTCACACACACACATTCGCACACACACACACCTACACACAGTGAAGAAACATGTAATGAAACTGAGGATAGGGGCAGACATATTCACAATAAACGACAAAGAAGTGTGCGAGGAACTCAATAAGAAATTCCAGGAACTCATCACATTAGAGCAAGGAGAAGTTTCAGAAATAAGAGAAGGAATAGTTAACCAGTCACCACTAGAGAAATTTGAGATTACCAGTGGGGATGCAAGGAAGCTTTTGTCAGAGTTTGATGTGACAAAAGCTATAGGCCCGGATGGAATATCGCCATGGATACTAAAGGAAACTAAAGGAAGGAGCAGAAGCACTGTGCCTGCCACTCTCCATGGTGTATAAGAAATCACTGGTAACAAGTGAACTGCCAAAAATTTGGAAGACGGCAAACCTAGTCCCGATATACTACACGGGGAAAGACAGGAGGCACTGAACTACAGGTCAGTTTTCCTAACTCGCATACCATGCAAGGTATTGGAGAAAATTGTGCAAAAAAAGATGGTGAACTTCTAGATCGAAGGAACTTTGTGACACAACATCAAGATGGTTTCAGGTATGGCTAGTATGCCTCGCAGGATTATTTGAATTCTACGATCAGGCAACAGGAATCAGAGAAGGAAAAGAGGGGTAGGCAGATTGCATATTTTTTGAGTGTCAGAAAGCCTTTGACACAGTACTACACCAGAGACTAGTCCGAAAGCTGGAGATGCAGGCTGGAGTGAAAGGGAAGGGTATTCCATTGGATAAGGGAGTACCTAAGTAACAGAAGACAGCGAGTCACTGTGAGAGGTGAGGTCTCAGATTGGCGAGACGTCACCAGCGAGTCCCGCAAGGCTTACTCCTTGGACCCATACTGTTTTTTATATATGTAAATGATCTTCCAGATAGTATAGAACCATTTCTCTCATTGTTCGCTGATGGTGCAAAAATTATGAGGAGGATTAAGGCGGAGGAAGATAGCATGAGGCTACAAGATGACCTAGACAGACTGAATGAATGGTCCAATAAATGGCTACTAAAGTTCAACCCGAGTAAATGTAAGGTAATGAGACTAGGTAGTGAAACAGGAGGCCAGACACAGGATACAGAACGGGAGATGAAGTCCCTCATTAAACGGACAGAGAGAAAGATCTAGAAGTTGATATAACACCAAACCTGTCACCTGAAGCCCACATCAAAAGAATTGAATCTACAGCGTATGCGAAGAACTAATATCAGAACTGCCTTCAGGAACCTGTCAAGAATCATTCAGAACCTTGTATACCACATATGTAAGAGCAATCCTGGAGTATACGGGCCCCAGCATGGAGCCCTTACCTTGTCAAGCACAAAGCGAACCTTGAAAAAGTACAGAGGTATGCCACTAGGCTAGTCCCAGGACTAAGAGGCATGAGTTACGAGGAAAGGCTGCGGGAAATGCACCTCACGACACTGGAAGACAGAAGAAAATGGGGAGACATGATCACTACCTTCAAAATTCTCAGAGGAATGGACAGGGTAGATAAAGATAAACTGTTTAACATGGGTGGTACGCGAACAATGGGACACAGGTGGAAACTTAGTACCCAAATGAGCCACAGGGACGTTAGAAAGAACTTTTTCAGTGTCAGAGTAGTTAACAGATGGAATGCATTAAGCAGAGATGTGGTGGAGGTTGACTCCATACACAGTTTTAAATCCAGATATGATAGAGCCCAGAAGGCTCAGGAATCTGGACACCAGTTGATTGACAGTTGAGAGGCGGGACCAAAGAACCAGAGCTCAACCCCCGCAGGCTCAATTAGGTGAGTACAACTTGGTGAGTATACACACACACACACACGACTGACGGTTATTCAGGGCTGTTAAGATTTCAGTAACTACATAACAGGTACCATAGCAATTGGAGGAAAAAAAGTGTATTGATCTTAGAGTACTTAGTAGAGCTAGGATTTTTCTCCTTCCAAAAAGTATCCAGGAAGCAAAGGGCTGGCGTACCGTAAAGGAAATAATGAGGAGATGAGAAAATTCCTAAGGAATACATCATAGGACACAGAACTCAAAATTAAGTCCGTACAAGACATAATGGACTATGTCACCAAAAAGTGTCAGGAGGCCTTAAACAGTTTTATCCCGACCAGAAAGAAAAGAACGAGAAGCAAAATAAGAATCCATGGTGAACTAGGGCTTGAATGCAAGCGAAGTAACTAAACAAAAGGGCGTGGAGGAACTTTCGAAATAACAAATCACCTGAAAGCAGAGAGAGATACAAGAAAATCAGGAATGAGTATGTTAGTGTGAGAAGAGAAGGTGAGAAAATGTATGAAAATGATATAGCTAATAAAGTCAAGACCGAACCAAAGCTACTCCACAGTCACATCAGGAGGAAAACAACAATGAAGGAACAGGTGTTGAAACTTAGAACAGGTGAGGACAAGTACACAGAGAATGACAGAGAGGTGTGTAAAGAACTCAACAAGAGGTTCCAGGAGGTCTTCACAACAGAACAAGGTGAGGTCACTGTGCTAGGAGAGTTGGCAGTGAACCATGTGGTCTTAGAAGGGTACGAAATTAGAAGAGATGAGGTAAAGAAGCATCTGTTGGATCTGGATGTGAGAAAGGCTATGGCCCAGACGGAATCTCACCATGGGTATTGAAAGAGTGTGCAGGAGAACTTTGCTTGCCACTCTCTATAGTGTATAGTAGGTCACTGGAAACGAGAGACCTACCTGATATGGAAGATGGCTAATGTAGTCCCAATACACAAAAAAGGTCACAGACATGTGGCACTGAACTACAGGCCAGTGACTGTAACTTGTATACCATGCAAGGTGATAAAGAAGATCGTGAGAAAAAAACAAATAACGGAGAGATGGGGCTTCGTGACAACCCATCAACATGGGCTCTGGGAGAGTAAATCTTGCCTTACAGGCTTAATAGAATTCTACGATCAGGTAACACAGATTAAGCAAGAAAGAGAAGGCTGGGCGGACTGCATTTTCTTGGACTGTCGGAAAGCCTTTGACACAGTACCCCATAAGAGGCTGATTAATAAGCTGGAGAAACTGGTAGGGTACTCCTTTGGGTATGGGAGTACCTAAGCAATAGGAAGCAGAGAGTTACAGTGAGGGGTGAGACCTCAGATTGGCGTGAAGTCAGCAGTGGAGTCCTACAGGGCTCTGTACTCGGACCTATCCTGTTTCTGATATACGTAAATGATCTCCCAGTGGGTATAGACTCATTTCTCTCAATGTTTGCTGACGACGCCAAAATTATGAGAAAGGTTAAGACAGAGGAGGACAGCTTGAGGCTTCAAGAAGACCTGGACAAGCTGCAGGAATGGTCGAACAAATGGTTGTTAGAGTTAAAACCTAAAAAATGTATTGTAATGAAGATAGGTGTAGGGAGCAGTAGACCTGATACAAGGTATCATTTGGGAGATGAAAAACTTCAAGAGACAGAGAGAGAGAAAGACCTGGGGGTTGATATCACGCCAGACCTGTCCCCTGAAGCTCATATCAAGAGGATAACATCAGCGGCATATGCCATGTTGGGACGGCCTTTAGAAACTTGTCTAAGGAATCATTCAGAACATTATATACCACATATGTCAGACCAATTCTGGAGTATGCTGCTCCAGCATGGAGTTCATGTCTAGTCAAGCATAAGACTAAACTGGAAAAGGTTCAAAGGTTTGCCACTAGACTAGTACCCAAGCTTAGAGGTATGAGCTACGAGGAGAGACTACGGGAATTAAACCTCACTTCGTTAGAAGACAGAAAAGTTAGGGGGGGGGGCATGATCACCACATTCAAGATTCTCAAAGGAATCGATATGGTAGATAAAGACAGGCTATATAACACAAGGGGCACACGCACTTGGGGACTCAGGTGGAAACTGAGTGCCCAAATGAGCCACAGAGATATTAGAAAGAACTTTTTTAGTGTCACAGTGGTTGACAAATAGAATGTATTAGGAAGTGATGTGGTGGAGGTTGACTCCATACACAGTTTGATGTGAAGCTATGAGCCCAATAGGCTCAGTAACCTGTACACTTGTTGATTGACGGTTGAGAGGCCGGACCAAATAGCCAGAGCTCAACCCTCGCATGCACAATTAGGTGAGTACAATTAGGTGAGTCCACACACCCTAATTGGTAGAGGGCTCCTGATCATTCAACTTGAAAACAGCGAGGCACTGAAAACCAAAACAGATAATCAGACTAGGAAGCATGAAAGAAACCAAACTAACCTTCCTGACGAGCTCTCCAACCATGCCGTCCCAACCTCCCTCCGTAGCGTCGTCCTGTGCGCCATAGGTGTGGTCCTTCACAATTTGAAGCGTGT